TTGGTTTAAGAAACATTGCAAATGACTCAGAAAAGTGGGATTCTGAAAATTTTTTAAAAAAATCTTAGTTTAAAAGAGAAAAGAAAAAAGATGAACTACTTATATAGAAAAGAGATCTTTTCTTGAAACAATGCTTTCTTCTTGCTCTAAGCCTAAGGTAACCCACTTATAAAAAGTTCATTCTTTAAGGTGTCAGATACATATTTATATCATTGATATTTTGCTTGTTTAAAGACATGTTTTATAAACTATTTAGAAGAAGCATTTATGAACAACAAAACCATGAAGACCCTCATCTTCACCTGCCTGACCGAAGGAAAAATTAAAAGCATTTTTTTAATGACCATTTCAAGTATTTTTGATTCTCTCCAAAATATCTTTCTCTGGTTTCACTTTTTCCTCTTTTTCTTTCTCCAACTTAATGAATGCATTCTATGCACCAGTACTTGGCATTAAAAAATGCAGAAGATAATCTTGTTGTCTTTAAAAGGATTATTTGGCAGAGAAAGAAGTAAAAACAATTCATTTTTACACCCCAGTATCTGTTATAAGATAAATACTTTTCTTTTTCCAGCCTCATTTTCCTTTGAATTCTCCTGCTTTCCTCATTATGACTTGATTTACATAGAAACAGAACTTCAGTGAACTCATGTAATAACAATCAGGTTATTGATTTAAACGCTTTTCCTTTTTTTTTTTTTTTTCCCTAGAAACAAGAAGCTCATTGGTTCTCAAGGAAACCCTCTGCTGGAAATCCAGGAACACTTCAAAGTGCTGGCATTTGAAAACTGAGGCAAATAACATCTTACAAACAATGAAAACAACTGGGTGACAAGCTACAATTTAAAACACACACATTATTTTAACGGATCATAAACCAAATAGTATAGAGTGAGAGAGATATACACTCATTTGTAATAAAGACAAATGATTGAAACCACTTAATTCCATTGAAAAGTATCCTGTAATCTTTAAATTATAGGTATTAGGAGGTTAGTCCAAACAGTTATGGCAAGTATCTGGGTTCTTAAAAATTGTCACTTTCACTTTAAAGCATTTATTATCTATTGCAGACTTTCTAATTTGTCAATATATCTAGTTTTGAGTGACCCATAGGGCATACGTCAAACACCTACCTTGGAAAGTTGTCATTTATGCAGTAGCAATTTTATAGCATCAGGGTAGTAGTTTTCATGACATTTAATCTGTGTTCCCTTTGAACAGTAGTCCTATCTCTATTCCTAAGTGTATATATCCAAACACAGAATATTTTTTCACATTCTATTTTCTAATGTTTGTAGATACTTATTCTCTCCTGCTGCCAAGTCAAACTGAACATATACACAAGGTTTATACATAATCCAAAGTTTTCATAATCATTACTTATGTTGGTTTTCTAAAATTTCTCTGCATTTTTTTTCTTTTGAAAATTAAAAAGCTATTAGTACATCTTTAAACCTGGACATTATTTTTCATTTTCTTCAGATTTTTCTGATATTTTTCTCTGGCATATGATGTTATGCACATAGACACACATGTGCAAGTGCACACACACACACACAC